GATGCTTCTAGCTTCTCAGACGATATTTCTAGGATCACATCTGGTGTTCCTAACATCTCAGATGATGTTTCTAGTACCGCAGATGATCATTCTAGCATCTGACATGATGCACCCAGGGCTCCAGATGTGTGTAGCGCCTCACTTGGTATTTTCAGGATCTTAGGTGCGAATAGTATGCATGAGATTAAGTATTATAATTTAGAGAAACTACTACTGTACGCTTCTTTGTTATTGCGACGCGTGTATACCTTCGAATTTACAAATTACAATTTATATGAAATTTTAACTTTTGCTTTTTCTGCCACAGTTATATGGATGTCTCATCCGAATTATACGTTCAAATTCGAAAAAAAATTATCTTTTGCTTTTTCTGCCGTAGTTATTTGGGTGCCTCGTGCGAATTATAAATTCGAATTTGAAAAAAATTTATCTTTTGCTTTTTCTGCCATAATAAGATGGACGCCTTTTTTTTGTTTTCGAATTGATATAGAGCAATTGTAGGTCCATTTATATTCGAACTTGAATTAGGCACCTCATGATATTTCTTTTCCTATTTTCCTACACTTATATGACTATGCCTATGTATCTTTAACTTATAATTTATATCTAAAAAAAATATTTCTTTTTCTATTTTCTATAACTAATAGGAAAGTGTCCTATAGATTTCCATTTATTTTCGAATTGATGCCATGCACTAAATTGTTCATTTATATGCGAATTCGAATTAGACAACTCATGAGAAATTGGCTGGCACTTCCTCCTGTTGAACTATGATCTTTTTAGTAACCCTTTTTTTCTGTAAAAATTGATAGAAGAAGTCTTTCAATATGCCATGGTAATTTTGTTGATCGACTGTTAATTCTTCAAAAAAAGTTCAACGATTAATTTGTTTGACATTTCACACCATACAATAATTTTTGGCGAGTTCATTAGAACTTCTACAGCAGTGTAAGAATTATTTTGACCTCAAATATGACAGTTATGTTTATTAATCATTCCTGAAATGTGAAATGTTGCTTCATCTGAAAAAAAAAGAATGAGACCATCATTGTTTTCATTAGTAATAATTGGTAACAACATTTCAGGCGTCTCTACACGTAAATCCATATCCTCGTCGTATATCTGTTATGTTAAATGCATCTTATATGGTTTATATCTCAATACATCACGCATTGTTCGATGCATTACCTATTTTGACATATTAACGTAATGAGTGTTAGGATCGCCATCTATATATATATATATTATATGGATGGACGATCCTCCTTTTTTTCTTTTTTTCTTCTGTAGTCATATATGCATGTTTCTTGTTAGTAGCTTACGGTTGTTGTTGTTTACCTACAAGCGTGATGATCCATTATTTACTGTAACCTTTAAACATTTTTTTATTGTTTTTTTGGTTTACTTTTTTTTGTGAAAAGTTTAAGTTCCTGTTATATTGTTTTAAATAAAAAGAAAAAAGGATTCTGACAATGATGCACTTGGCCCGAGTCTTATTAATTAATATTAGTGTAGCAGGCAAACAGACATCTTAATGAGCATTAAATCGACCTGAGCTACAAAAGATCTCAAACAAACATCTATTGACTTTTTATCCTTACCGGCTAAAACAAAAGAACATAACATATTAACAATGGAACATGCTGACAGTGTTAAGATTGATTTAATACTACGAAAAACTGATCCAACTAAGAACGATCAAGATTTAATGGAACAAAAACCAACTATTCTTGGTCATGATTTAAATGATCAGCATTCAATTCAAGAGAAATAGAAACAACTATCTTTAATTCAATTACTAATACATTCAATGCAAAAATTTGATGATCATGGTGATGTCACAGATTGGTTAGACAGAATTATGGAAAAATTTGATGAATTACAACTTGCAGTTCGTGAGCGAAATGAGTTGATTGGAAAAGCATTCATTTGGTGTTTAAAAGAATAAGATAAAATGCTGACATTTGTCTTTCATTAAAAATTTTCTTCAGTATTTTAATTATAAAGAATTAAATCACAACCCAATCAATCTCATGCATTATGTTGTCAACGTATTTGAAACAACAGAAAATTATTGATGGTAAAGGTAGTATTATCGATTCTCTTCGGAATCAAATGATGATAATGAATCTTGAAAAAGTACCAAAATTTACTGGCAAATTAAAATAAAATTCGTTATGTTTATAAGCCGAAGCACATGATTGGCTCTATGATAATAAACGTTTAACGTTAACATGGACAACATTTACACAAAATTAATAAAAATCTTTCAATCTTCTGGTGAAGCGAATATTTCTTTTAATCGATTACGGAATTATGAGCAAAGCACTACTGAAGATGTTAATTGGTATTGTTTTGAAATTATGAAATTATGTAAAGAAGCCAATCCCATTATAGATCACGCTAACAAATTACAATATTTAATAGATGGACGTAAGTAAAGTTAGCTCCATATTCGATTTTTCTGTGTCCGGATTCGTTTTTGGACTTGCGTTGACTCTCTACTTGGTTGAGTTATACGCAGAATTAAATTCTGCATCGAATAATGTCATTTTCGATTGGAGTCATTGAGCAAAAATCTTGTTTATACTCCAAATACTGACTTTTTTGAGGACTTTTCCAAACGTATTTCGCGTCCGGATTCGCTCTCTCCGTTGGGTTAGTTCTACAAATGATTGGGTTGAGTTCAAAATTTAATTCTACGTCGAATGGTACTAATTTCGACTATGGTTGTCGGGCAAACCAGTAGATGACAGTAACAGTGTCAGGTCGAAATTTCTAGTCCTCGTTCACCCTCACCTTTTGATTTTGCCCGACAACCATAGTCGAAATTAGTACCATTCGACGCAGAATTAAATTTTGAACTCAACCCAATCATTTGTAGAGCTAACCCAACTGAGAGAGCGAATCCGGACGCGAAATACTTTTGGAAAAGTCCTCAAAAAAGTCAGTATTTGGAGTATAAACAAGATTTTTGCTCGATGATCCCAGTCGAAAATGGCATTATTCGATGCAGAATTAAATTCTGCGTATAACCCAACCAGGTAGAGAGTCAACCCAAGTCCAAAAACGAAGCCGGACACAAAAAAATCGAATATGGGGCTAACTTTACCTACATAATAGATGGTTTGAAACCTTCTTTACGTTTTGATGTCTTACTAAAAAAATCTCAAGAATCCGAAAGAATTTTTAGAATATGCACAAAAGGTTGAAGAACTTAAATCATTAGATGAAAAACAGTATATTATCGTTGCACCGATACTAAAAAATTTTACAACTACATTAACAATTAATTCAACAAATAAAAATATCAACCTACAACAAGTTAATCATGTATCGTTTTCACTGCAGTCAAGTTACGATAATGCACAGCATAAAACTCATTATAGAAATAATAACGCGCTTCAATAAGCCACAACTATCATAGCAAGTTAAAGTCAACGTTATAATGATAAATCTAAACCATCATATCGATGTTATAAATGTGGTGCTAGTGATCATTTTATTCATAATTGCCCATATTTTCAAGAGAGAAGTCGCCGAATGATATCGATGACCCCTGGAAATCAGTAAAAATCCATCAGCAATATTTGTTTGTGCCAAGGTTAATCAAGTTTATATTAAGGTTATGTTTGATTCCGGTGTACCAAGATCTTTTATTAACTAAGCAGTATTAAATCGAATAAAATATTTACCAATAAATCTCAATATACATTATTATATAATGGCAGATGATTTCATAACATTTGAAGTTATCAGTCTAGTAAAAATCTTTATTGAATTAAATCAAATAAAAACAAAAATAGTGGTTAATGTTGTTAATTCTTTATATACTGATTGTATTTTGGAAATGGGTTATATTAACAAATATCAGGTTAATCTTAATAATAAACAGGAACAAGTTCAAGTTTATATATCTACTGATTACATCATGTTACCAATGGAAGCTCAAGTTGATAATATTAGAATAGTATGTCGTTTAGCAAACTTCTTATATTTAAATCCATATCAAGAAAGACAAATTAAAAACCTTTCACAAGTATCTTCTGGAAAAATATTATATTCCAACAGTAAGGTTTAGTCATTCCACATTCGGTAATTTCTATCAAGAACCATATAACTTGAATTTCAATTTATAATCCAACAACTAGTCGATATTATTTAAAACAGATGCTATAATTGGTGTTGCTGCACTACTGATATCTACTACTCGAATTTCTACTGCTTTTGATCTGCATACGAAAAGAACAATAGTCGAAGACCAAACACATTCGTTACCATCCGTTAGTGAGCAGCATATTAGTTCTTTACTTAAACATATACGAGATCAGCAACAATTAAAATGAATTACGAAGTATTTTAAAAAAATATCATCCATTATTTGACACACCATGAACAATAATTGCTCAAACACCAACATCTCATGTTATTGATATAGATGAGGATTCGTCTACCGCATTTCGACATTATCGATAAACCATTGAAAAACAAAATGCAACCTTTGACATTATTCAAAAGATGTTAAAAAGAAACAAATACGAACATCACATTCTCAATATTCAGCATCAATCTTGTTGATTAAGAAAACATGATAGTTCATATCGATTTATTGTTGATTATCGTAAATTACATTGTATTACTATTCAAGATAATTTTTCTTTACCTAATCTTGAACAAGCTATTTAAATGATCGATGGTCATCAATATCATACAAAATTAGATCTTCTTTCGGGCTATTTTCAAATATCTATCCTCGAAGAGGATAAGCACAAGACCACATTTATTACCATTCATGGATTATACGAATTCAACGTTGTGATGAAAGATTTAAAACATAGTTCTCCTTCATTTCAACGAATTATATCAAATTTATTGTTACCATACCAACAATTCCGCCTGGTTTATTTGAATAATTTATTAATTTATTCTAATTCTTTTAAACAACATATTGATCATCTCAACCAAGTATTAGCAATACTTAATAAACATGAATTTCAACATAATCCTCAAAAATATGAATTAGTTCATACAACTATTGATTATTTAGATCATACAATCATTATAGTCAGGCATTAAACTACTTCAAGAACAAATTGATAAAGCTTTAACTATTCCACAACCCACTTCATTAAATCAAACTAATACTTTTATTAGTGCTGTTGGCTTGTATCAAAAGTTTATTAAAGATTATGCAAAAATACCTACACCAATATTAAAAATGGCCAACAATTGAAAAAGAAGTCTTACCTATATATTATTGTATAATACGTATGAAATTATATTTATTAGGTCGTGAATATATTGTTCAAACGAATCATTGTCCTTTACGTAATATGCATAAAAAACTATCAAATAACCGTCGACTTGATCGTATTTCATTAGCTTTACAACAATATAACATTAAAGAAATTCGTCATATTTCAGGTAAATGTAATTACATGGCTGATTATTTATCTTGATTTCCACGTCAATTGGAAGAAGATGATGAATTTTTTGAATCTGATTTTGGCGTTATACATGCCTTAAAATATGACATAGATAAAAAATAAGTAAACAGGCAAGCTTCAGTTATTCCATCTTTCATTAGTGCTGGTACGACGAGTGCTCAAGCTAAAGCACAAATTCATCAAGCACCACCAAATAATACTAATATTTCTTTTGACAACACGTCATTGATAGATGATCAACCTCCACTAGAGGTTGGTCATGAATTTGACGTTTCAACTATTGCTAAAGCTCAAAAAGATGACAAACTATACCAATAAGAAGTTTTAGAGATTAACAAGAATCCAATTAATTGTCCTTATGTATTGGAAAATAGAATTTTATATAAATTAGTTAACCATGGTATGTTTACACAGAAATTAATTTATGTACCGCCTTCAATGTTACGACATTTATCGAACACTTGTCATGATGCTTCATAGGCGGAATATTTTGGCTATTGTCGAACTTATTTGAAATTGAAAGATAAATATTGGTGGCCCAACATGAAAATCACTATTCAAAATTATATTCGAACTTGTGTGCAATGTCAAAAATTCAATATTGATCGTCGTAAACTTTACGGTTTATTACATCTCATTGAATCCCTCAAGAATCCTTTTCAACTAATTGAAATTGATTATATTGGTCCTTTTCCAAAAACTCCACAAGAAAATACATATATGTTAACCATCACTGATTATCTCACAAAATGAGTCATTGCAATTCCTTTACCAAATCAAACTGTTCAAACAACAGCTGAAGCTTTATGTGAACGCTGTATATATATTTATGGTGTACCAATTACAATTTTATCAGATCAAGATCCCTATTGCAACAATCAGTTAATAATATCATTTACACAAATTTTACGATGTCATCACAAAAAAAGCCTCTTGCCACCCCCAAACAAACGGTGTCATCGAACATTTTAATTCAACATTTGAACGTCAAATAGCAAAATTAATTGATCGACATACTAATAATTAGGATATGCATTTAAAGTCAATTGTTTTTGCATATTATATATGACAATATGCAGCGACAAAATTTTCTCTGTACCATTTACAATTTAGCGGAGAATCGAAATTACCATCAGATAAACCAACAACATATTATGAATTTCCTAAACCAAATGATTATTTTCAACATACCATAAACATTTGTCAACAACAAGCCCATAGTAATATAAAAAATAATTCATAGAATTATAAACAAAATTTTGATCGTGATCGCTTCAATATTCACTACAATGTTGGTAATCAAGTATTAAAACGACTTACGACGTCTCCATCTAAATTATCTGCAATTTATTCAAAGCCAATGATAGTTATTAAAAACCAACATCCAACTTATTGGATATAGCATTTAAATGATCAACAAATTTTTTTAAGTGCATATCTTTCAACTACGTACTTGCGATTCCAATCATTCAATATAAAAAAAACAATAAGTATTATAGCATGTTACGTTATCTAGCGTTTTCTTTTAACATCATCAATATATTCATTTATTTATTTGTTCACTTATTTGTTCATTTATGAATGGGTTATAGCATTCTGTTATTATTGTTTATTTACTTTATTTAGCTATAGATTTATTTGCTTGATTTAGTGATACATTTATATAGTGACTGCATGTTCATCGAATATCAAATTTTCATCAAAAGTTTCTCAAAATAAACGTCGTCAAATAAATAAACAAGAAAAAGAACGTCATTGTCAACAAGTATTTTCTCCATATCATTCAATTTATAATTATGATATGTATTTTATAAATGCTTGTACAACTTCATAAGAATTCGAATATTTAATCTATATTGTTCAACAAACAAAAAATTTCACCTTCGATACAGAATCCGATTATCATACTAATCAACCTGCATTAATTCAGGATTTTTTTCATGAATGTCGTGCATAAAAATTCTCCTTTACTACTAATCGAAACAAATTTTCTTCCGGATGAATCATTTATTTATTTTTTCTTAATCACAACATTTATTTTGCTACATCTTTTGTATTGATACACATACGTATTATTGGGGGTCGCTAATTAAGGTACTAGCTCCATTCTTGCGATTCAATATTTTTTTCATTTTCTATATTATCTTTTCTAAGTGCATAATTCACAAATTACATTTAGGACATGGTTCAATGATTGTCTTAATTTTTATTTTTTCGTCGATGATGATCTTACTGATATTAGTGATGATACAATCATTATTAACGCACCTTCACAAGATTCCACATTAATTATTGCTCCAGAAATCATAAATGATATTAAGATATGTAACAATGAATGATTGAGCATTCAAGGTGCTGTTGTATATATATTTCAACAACATTTGTCGAAACAATATACTTTACAAAAATGGTCAATCAGCTTAGTCAATCGACTTCAACATCATGATCAAACATTTTCTTTAAACCATCATACAAATCTAATAGCCTATGCAGTATATGATTATTTACTGCCGGCTCGAATAGTGTTATTTATGTATCAGTCTAACATTCCAAGGACCTCGACATGTATTCAGTGTTTCCCCAATTCAGACGAACATCAGTTAATTCACGGTAAAAACGTTTCTGATTTTTTTCTTTAAGAATAATTCACACGATGATTCACCTCTCGTTAATGAATCTTCTGATTATTCAATGACAGTTCATGAATTAGATGAACATCATCTAATACATGATGATTGTAATTCTCTACATGTTCAGCATTTGTCAAATATTTGTATTTCTGTTATTATTACAAACTCAAACGTACGTCGACAAAGGTCTTTAACTGCACAACGACGAAAAAATAAAAAGTTAAATACACGCCATGGAAAACATCGATATTACCACGAAATTCTCTCTTTTTTAATATATGGTTAGATAGAACATTACAAGCTGATCAAAAAAAAGATGTTATCATTTTTTTGTTACAAGTTTTTAGGGGAAAAATTTCACTTTTTTACGATGACCTACTCTTTCTGAAAAATAGGTCAATTTTGGTAATTCACAAATTGTCCATTTTTTTGTTGCATTCAAATTTCAAAAGTGTTTATTTCAGATTCAGCATAAAAAGCTCAATATAGAAAGATCATGTATAAATGACTTTTCTATATTCAATATTTCAGACTCAATTTGAAACACACATTTGAAATATGAATGAAACACAAAAATTGACGCACTTTTCATAAAAATCTGAACTTTTCCTCCTAAAACTTATTCCAAAAAATTGAAACACCAATATTCTTGATCAGCTTTTCACGCTCTATCTAACCATATATATATATATATATATAAATTAAATTCTGCTTTAATTTTGCATTTCCGACACCTTATTTATTTTATTATCATCAATTAGTTTTGACTTTATTTTTTATTCGCAGCAAATAGAGAATATATCAATAATAATTCTCGGGTCGTAGTTTGGTTATTGTTAAGCCGATCATATAATTCTTTAGTTAAGGGTTTGGATGCGGATGAAGGTTAATAGACGATTCACACTCTCACTTCATGTTTCACTACTAATAAATTTAAAAATTAACAGCTGAGAGTAAGAGACATTTTCATATGAGAAATCATTGCTCAAGGACATTCATTCTTTATAAACAATTATGCGTGGACAATTATTTATGAGGACCAGAAGTCGAGGATATTTTTGAACAGACATTGTTCAAAGAACAGTGAAGGCACAATTCTTCCAATTAATCCTATTAAAATTATGATATGAAAAGAAGTCCGAAATTTTGAATAACATCCAATAAATTCTAAAAAAATTCCGGTAGACCTTCACATAATAATCTTTGATGCAGAACAAGCGTTTTATTTTTAGCAATAGATGATTTATTGATGTAGTGCGCATTTTTCTTTGTTTGTTGATTACATTTTAAAATGGTTAGATAATGAGATAAATGATCATTGAAGCTGTCAAGAAAAATGCAAATCATATCAACCAAAAACGCAATGATAATTATCTAGTCAGATAAGGGATAAGAAAGAAAAAAAATGCAATGATGCAGCCCATTCTTATGTTGACTACAGTTTAAAGTGGTTAGATAATGAGATAAATGATCATTGAAGCTGTCAAGAAAAATGCAAATCATATCAATCAAAAATATAATGATAGTTATCTTCTCAGATAAGGATAAGAAAGAAAAAAAATGCGATGATGCAGCACATTCTTACCCATGTGCATGGAATATTGATGATATCAAATAACGAAAGGATATTGAGCGATTTTTAATTTCAGCCTTCATTTAATATACATTTTGAACGCCATTCCTCTTTGTTTAATGAAAAGAAGCGCTGCAAACTAGTCTATAAAGAGAGACAAGATTCGAGTATGTTTTCTTTTGAATAAGTAGCTTTCGAGGCAAAAAAAAACAATATTTCGAAAAGTATGGTACTTTAATGGGTAATAAATATCACAAAAGAAAACATGATCGACAGAACTTCCATTGTAGTTTCTAGAATTCTGACTGCACACCTTTCAATGTTTCTGAATGAGAACTAGTGTAAATTTGTCCAAAATCTCATAATCAATTCAAAGTATAGTTGTTTTCTGGTCATCATCCATTCCTAATCAAAGGACCATACAAAATCACATGATTGCAAAACATAGACACAATCTGCATTATGCCTAGGAAAAGAACACTGGGTTGTGGATAATAATCTGCCACGAAATTTTCTTCCATCCTCAGAGAAAAAAACCATGCATCATCACATAAACAGAAGGTTGACGAAGTCTCAAAAGTCATAAAAAATACTTAAAATTACAATTAACGCAATGCAAACTTCGCTAAGTCTTTTGCTGAAAGGAGACTAACATGATAGAAATAAGATGTTCGGTAGTGAAGTTTCGAATTCCACTGATCTTTTTATTTTTATTGAA